TTTTTTTTTTTTTTTAATATTTTGAAACTTTCTTTCTTTTACTATTTTATTTTATTTATTTATTTATTTTGTCATGTAGGCACTTGGAATGGAGGAGACAGCTGCTAGAATTAACGTTATGGTGGAACGAGCGAAGCAAAATATAGAAATGTCTGAATTAACTCCCTTAGATTGTTTGGTAAATATTAAGTTATCACAGAACCCGTGAATCATATCGATGACTAATTTGTTTCATTGTCATAGCTAGCAAATGAAATTATAATATAATTTGAACAAAAATTCTAATCAATTCAATGATTTGAATCTAGGGTCTGACTCTAAGTGGATGTGAAGAAGAAAGTTCCAATCATCAATTAATAGAAACGATGAAAGAAAAATATCCAAATATTGCTAAGGCTTATTACATTAATTCAGATACCGTGGGTAGTCTCAGAACTGGTTTGGCAAACGGTGGGATAGTTTTAATTGCTGGCACCGGCAGCGGTGCATTGCTGATCAATTTGGATGGAACAACCATAAGATGCGGCGGGTGGGGATATTTCATAGGGGACGATGGCAGTGGTACGTGATCAGAATTGCTCATGCTATGATTCACAAAAGTGAAAAAACAGACATTGAATGGTTCATGTATTTTAGCAAAACTATAGAAGACATATCTTGATTATTCTTTTTTTCATTTGTCTTATATAATTATTACTAGAATAATTATTACTAGAATTTATATAATACAGAATATCCAAAGAATAGTTATAACATTTATTAATTTAATTTTTTTAATAATTTAATAATTTATAATAATTAAATAATTATTAGGTTAAAATATATTTCTCCTAAAAGTAGTAATGATAAATCTATTAAATTTTGTAAAATAATCATTTTTTAACTGTTTAATACAAATAAAATGGAATCTTAAAATTACTTCTTTAGGTACTATCTTTTAAAATTCTATCCATAAAAATATAAATTTATATAAACACTCGTAACCCAATTATTAAAAAAATTGAACTTTCAGCTTTCTGGATCGCCCGTAAAGCTTGTAAGTATGTGTTCGATGATATCGATGGCTTGAATCCAGCACCTAAATCCATAAGCTACGTATGGCCAGCTATGAGGCATTACTTCAACGTAACCAATTTGACAGAATTATTGCCGCATTTTTATAAAGACTTTGATAAAACCACCTTCGCTAAGTTTACCATGGAGATTGTGATAGGCTGTGAGAAAAAAGACCCGCTTTGTTTATTTATTCTTCAGGAAAATGGAAGATATCTCGCGAAACATATCATAGGCCTTTCGAGGAAAGCCCATAATGTGAGTTACTTGTTCTGATTTGCAAATTGAAACAACTTGTTATGAGAAGTGTTATTGTTTAGGATCTCAAATTAGCTAAAGGTGGATTAAAGGTCATTTGCGTGGGATCAGTTTGGAAATCGTGGGATTTTATGAAAGACGCTTTCGTCGATGAAATTCATGAGTCTCACGCTTTAGACGAATTAACTATGATGCGCTTAACAGTATCAGCTGCATTGGGTGCGTGTTATCTTGCTGCTGAAAAAATCAACTGGCTATTCACGAAATCTTACGAAGACAATACCGAAGTGTTTTATCACTATAAACGCTCAAATTATGTAAAACCAAAAACAACGAAAGATTTGATAGAGCCAACTGGGGACCAAGTTCCTTGTCCCAACGTCACCAAGCATCACAGATAAAAATACAAATAGGAATAAAGTCTGTATTTTATGCTCGCATTTTTCATATATCTTTTATATACAAAATATATAATGTAATAATTTTTCAAGTACTGCAGTCTAAATATTAAAATGATTAACTGTATATGAAATATTTTCCACAGCAACAAATGCTCAAAAATGAGGAAGAATAAACTTATTGTTAATTATAATTGAAATTTTCATTCGTATCATAATTCTGCAATTCATCGATAAAAATTTTCTCGTCATTGTGCTATAATATATCGACTAACATGTATATATTCGAATATAGTG